ATCACTACTGGAGAATGATAAATGGTTATTTATGTGTCAGTTAGCACAAGCTACCGATTAACAATTAAAATAAATAAAATAAATAATATTTAAAAGTATGGATTTATTACAATCTTAAAAATTAACACTTATTAAGTTTTTTGTAAGATATCAATTATATTATAATGAGAATAAAACAAAAACATAAAATTTAATATGTATAACATAAACAGTTAAACAAGACGGAGTCTAAAAGCGCTCTGCGCACTAGCTAATTTTWKTGTACCTACTAACTTGTCAACTTGAAAAGAGTTAAAATACAATTAAAAATTACACCATGCATATACGATTARAATTATAATATTTAGCCTTAAAACCTCATAGATTTAATAAAATATTTCATATTATTTTATCTAATTGAATTTCAAACAAATAGAATATTTGAAATTTTAAACGTAAAATAAATAATTATAATTATTAAAATACTCCAAAAATGCTTTTAAGGTTAAGTTCTCCCAAAAATTATGAATATGCTAGCTATAATTTCTAAAGAATAATTATGAACTCCTATGAATAAATAATTTTTTTATTTTAATATATTGGAGGATACATTTTTACGAATTCGATTAGAAATAAGTAGTTCTGTTAGGTACTATCTAACTGTCTGAGAATTTTTTCGGTGAGTGGCTTGGCGTAGAACAGTTGCTGTAATAATTCAAGCAACGTGAATAATGATGCAGTATATAATGAGCGTATATGCTCCATCTGCTGCCTCTAATTCTTGGATGGCTGACTACCCAAACCTTGTCACACATACACATGTTCCCATCCATACGTATCCTCCCTCACAGTTAAAAAAAAACTACTGAAATTAACCACCTAATTGCCTATACAACCACGAGTTGATAAAACAAAATTAAAAAATAGTGTAATTTTTTTAAATAATCAATTCAAATAAACATTGGTTTCTATTAATATTTAATAATTCTTAAACAGTATTTATTAAGATTATTTTAATTTCAATCACATTCATATTCATATTTTTTTTCTCGAACACTGAAAATAATTTTATGTT